GCAGGAGATAGCGGTAGGAGACTATGTGCATGTTCAGCCTGCATGAAACACTCAGTGACACGTTAGAATCAGAAATAATCATTACATGTATTTTTTCAGTGAGGTTGACCTATATATTGACCTACAACAGATTTGTTAGATTTCCTAAATGTGTCCCCCCCCCCCCCCATATTAAACTCGTTCCTACTCCCATGATGATTAGTAATTTTAATAAGTAATATGACTTTAATCTATAGCTGCACTAGACATCCTGATCACACGTAATGTAAACGCATGACACATTGCTTTTACTCATCCAATCGGAACCTTCCTTTCTGAAACGTGGCATAGTCTCTGTGGTGTTTATAAATCTGCCAAGTTTGATTCGACCAGAAATCAAAACATCCAGATTAATAAAACCAGTCCCCACGCCATCTTAGTTCAGTTCTCTTGAGTTCTCTTCAGCTCACTGTAGTTCACCGCATTCTATGAGAAGTATCTGACCGACCACCCGGACTTCCTTTTAAGCAAAGAACCAACAAGCTGAATAAAATCTGTTGCATTTTACCAACCAAGCAACGGTTCCTTTCAGAATAAAAGCTGAACTCACTGACCCTCTGGGTCCTTCTGACGCTGTCAACCAGCTGTCACTTTTTACCTGGCGACAATCCAAAGACTAGTCTGTCGTACTGCTGACGCTGTTTCAGGGCTCCAGTACCGAAGGGGGGTCAGAGGACCTGGCATTCTGGATCTGTACGGAGGTCTCATCCTGAAGGGTATGTGTGGCGCGACAAGATGGCGTCTTATGTGTTTATGAAACTACGATCATAGCTTAAGAGCAAAACATCACAACATTATTCAGACTTGCTTCTCTGGATATGAGAGTTCTGATTACAACGTCACTCACACATACACCATTCATCTCACGTCTCATTCACACCAAGATCCATCCATCCACTTAGAATTTAGAGTTAGTCTGGTTTAAAATAGTTTAAAAAAGTTTAGAAATAAATCTTCATAAACGTTTTAATGGTGACTCTTCTCTTGTCTCTCAGTTAATACGAAGTGTTACATAATCCCTGCAATAAAAAGTTCCAATCTTCTGGTTAAAAGTACCCAAAGATCCGTAAGATTGATTTCATATTTACTATGGAATCTTATGTCTTATGGTTCCTTAAATAGATATAAATTAACCCCTTACATAAATGATAAAGAATTTTGTCATAATGTATGACCAAACCCAGGGGGAGCATGTAGAGATTGAAGAGTAGTGGTCCAATAAATGAGCTTTGTGACAATAGAAACAACAAAAGCCCTGAAAAAATAAATAATGTACTTGAAAAAAATAACAGATAATTTAGGTGGATTTTAATGTCCTTGAGAAGAAGTCCTTGTTCCAAGAAGTTGAGTTGGTTTAGAGAAAATGACAAGTTTTTTTTAATGTGATCATTAAACTGGAAAGTGGTGAGTCTGTTAAGACGGCACTGAGCTTCTTCTCAGGATGCACCTAGACGCTTGTTTCTGAGCGATCTCATTTGTTTGACAAGAAACTTCAGGCATAGAGAGTTTGCATACTCAAAACAGCCAAGATACACAATCTGTGTCACCTGCAAAAGGTTTATTGAATGAGCCTTTGTCAGGGTTTCAGTCTGTTTTGTTTAGTGGAGAATGAAAAGTAATAAGAATTTGTTTAGGCAAAACAGCAAAGAAAGAAGATTTCAGTGGCCTGTATGTCCCTAAAGAGAGACACTTTCTTTGATCTGATAGGTGTGCTATAGTTAGCACTGGTGCCTCCAGGCAACACTGTTTATGGGATTTAAGCTATGAGAACCTTGTTTGTGTGTGAATTCTTGGTGTTTTGTTGTTTCATTCAAGTTCAAAACCATGCATGTTACTGGGAGAGAGACTGACATGTTGGGAGGGTTGGCAGTCCAGTGTCTTGACTACTGGTATCATGTTGGGTACCCCATAGGCTCCATCCTCTACCTCAGTATACCAGTACGATATAACAGATTCCTGATTAGATTAAAGAGGTTTGTGTTCAGGCCTAGAAAGTTCTTTACTGAGACATCAGTGCAAACAATCACCATTTTATGTGTTTCTTACCAAAATATATCATAAACCAGTTTTAGTCCACCTCTCTGAAGGGGCTGTCCCAACAACTATGATATCTACTGCTGATTAACGCCCATTCAATTCAAGATGGCCACCACAGAGCCAGCTGACCTTAGCAAACAAAAGAAATGCCAAGAACTCTGCTATTTTCACCAATTCACAACAGTGCTAACACACTATCTTAAATATTTGACACAAATAACACTTTTTCTCAACACAATGTGCTTTTAGTTTACACTGTTGTGGGAGGAGGATGCTGATGCTGCATGCCTTATTTTTTTTAAGAGTTTAATAATTCATGTTGAAGAGCAGGATTAATTTGGTACCAATCAAACCATTTTTATGTATTTCCAAGGTGATTTTGAAAGATTTGTCATGCTTTAATGATGATTTAGACACATAAACAATATGTACATGCTCACTCCTATAGCTAAATGTGCTAAAACAATGGTAACTCTTTATAATAAGTGCTTACTATTAAGCATTAGTTAATCATCAGTAAATCATTGGTTAACGGCTAATCAATAATTTCTAAAGCATCTACAAAAAAAGATCATAATTAGTTAACAGCTTACAAGCACCACTATAAAGGCTTTCTTCAAGATGAAGAAGCTACTGTGTCACACTTTTTATTCATGATGTTTCATGATCTATAAGTCATTGATTAATCATTTATAAACTCTGCTCGCCATGACTTACAAACCAGTCATTTGATGATGTAAAACAGGATACAAACCCATTGGTAAAGGCTAAGTAAATAGTTAACATACCCTATATAATACTATAAACTAAATATTTACTACACATACTAGAGTCTTACTAGATGTTTCGTAAACACTGAATCTCATGAATACATCGGTCAGCTACTAAATGTTTAACAGATGTCTAACAATACATTATAGGGCCTATAGTTAAAATCTGATGTTAGCCTAAATCTGGACAAGTGGGGGAGTACAGGGAGGTGGAGTGTCCAGTCGGTAAAGACGGCTCTCCCTTGCCCTGCCTCCAACATGCCTCCATCTAAATAGGATAGATTATCCAGGGTTAACTCTGTAGTTATGCTGCTATAGGCTTAGACTGCTGGAGGATACACTGACCACTTTTCACACTCTACTGCTTTATTCTACAGTCTGCTCTTTAACTGTACTATTTTGTGCAATTTCAACTGTTAACTTTATTTTCTCTGTAAGTGTTTTTCTCCCCAGAAGAAGCTACAATGACGTTCTGCTGAGCTGTGGTGGCCTCATGGAGGGGGCCATCGTCTAGCACACTGCTGCTAACCACTAATACATTCTCTCTCTCCTGATAATAACTTTTTGTTTTCATTGACTTTTGATGTGCTACTACTAGTTTATCCGTTTAATTATAGATCCACTAGGATAAATACAATAAAGTTTATCTTTCACCAAATACAATATTTACTAAGACATCACAATATAACTGTAGACACATTACTTGTCTTGTGTGTGTGTGTGTGTGTGTGTGTGTGTGTGTGTGTGTGTGTGTGTGTGTGTGTGTGTGTGTGTGTGTGTGTGTGTGTCTGTGTGTCTGTGTGTCTGTGTGTCTGTGTGTCTGCCTGCTCTGTCTTCTCGATCCCCAGTGAGTCGTGGAGGATGGCTGCTTATACTGAGCCAGGATTCTCTGGAGGTTTCTTCCTGTTAAAAGGGAGTTTTCCTCTCCACTGTCGCTGCATGCTTGCTTAGTATGAGGATTGCTGTATAGTCACTGACACTAGTCAGTGACTTGATGCCATTTGCTGGGTTCCTTATATAGGAAACATTATTTCTGATTGGCTTAATGAACTGTGAAGTGGAATGTTTATTATGTGAAGTGCCTTGAGACGACTCTTGTCGTGATTTGGCGCTATATAAATAAACTTGAATTGAATTGAATTGAATTGAATACATTTACAATTGTCACTTAACGGCTTCCGAAGATGCAGCTCCCTACCGACTCACTTCTTTTTCAAAAGAATATCTATCATTAATTATAAATACATTAATAACTACTTTAGAACGTTACAAACCATTTACTACTTCTTAGTGAAGTATTTTGGGTGAGCTCATCTAAAGTGGAGACTTTATATACCTTACAACCTATTTATAACAGTGAAAGTTTTTTCAAAATACATTGTAACAAAAATAAAGGACAACACAGATACAGAAAGCACTTTATTTTTAAGATGCCAGTTATAAATCATCAGAATAATGCTTACAAATATTGGCACACAACTGTTAAAACTAAAATTGTCCTGAACCACTATGAGCCAGTATTTGAAGTAAAAGAACAAGGCTTGATGTACTTTTATGACCTGTATATCTTTACATGAAGTGCTCAAGTAACATTTTCAAAAAGGTGAAAAAAAAATTGCAGTTGCAACAGAAAATTTTTTAAATGATCTATATTTTTTTTTAATGTCATACATCAGTCTCCCTAAAGCACCCTGTTTGTGCTTTTTACAAGCCATTCGTTCCACTCAATAACTGTAAGGTGTTCTGACAGTAGGCTGTCATTTCTGTTACCCCGGAGTCTCCAAATTCTCTCCTTGTAAGACCTCCAGGCTCTCTCCAGATGTTGGATATGCGCACCTGTTAGGGTCCAGATACCATCTGCTGTGGTTAACAGTATAGTGTTCATAACCTAAGTTTGGGAGTACGCTATAGGCCCGTCATTCATCACTTACCACTGAGGAACCAATCCTGAACATGAAGGGTCAAAAACAACACTTTTGCACCACCCACCAATCCAAATTTACCATTTATAGTCATTTGTCTTGAAACAGACCAACACAGCAACAAACTTATGCAAAAATAAACTTTAAAACATAAATTTACAGTTCAGTAAATGATTTTACAGCAGGTCCAATTATTATTTTACTGTATAACCCAAAAGTTGATTGTTGCTTAATGCCGTATTGTGAGCAAGTCTATGAAAAGAAATACACTTAAAATGTACTAATTTAAATGTAAATAAAATCAAAGAGTGGAACTAAGTGAAGAGTGTGTATTCTTTTTAAGCACCATACTTTATGTGTATTACTGGAAACACACACTGGGCCAAAATGACGGAAATTCCTGATGTAATCTAAAAAAGAGGAGTGAAAATCTGCTAAACCCTGGAATATTTCTGACCTGTGGAAGTAAATTCAAGCAAGACATCAGTAGTAGAGGAGTGATGAAGGAGTGGTCAGATGCTGAAGGACAACCCTTCACAGGAGAAGTACAAATACAACCTGTACAGAACAAAAACAAACTCTCCCGTCCCACTAACAAAATGTACTTCTTCACACTGGCTCTCGGGATTTGGCTTCTCCCAAGAAGTAAGTTTCATTACATGTAGTTGATTATTATATTTTATTCCCTCTATTTCTTAACCCTTTGATGCACAAATTATGAAATCTTCAACCATGATTTTTAAAAACATTTTTTTTCTTTCATCTTTAGGAGTGAATGAAACAAATTTCATATTTACATATTTTTTGTAACATTTAATTTACAAATAATTTATTACATGTCCACCTCAGTGGACAGCGTGCAATCTGAACATGAAATATGGTGGCTTGACTTACTGAAGTACAAATCGAGGGGCTCAAATGCAATAAAGTCTTCAACAGCTGTGCTTAATAGCAAAAATGAATAAATAACAATTTTCAGTACCTGTCCACTGTAGTGACCATTATGCATCAAAGGGTTAACAAAAATGTAGCGTAATTAAAGTCAATGATTTCATTTTGCTTTAAACGTGAGCATTATTGTATCTTTGATTCAACTTTTATCTATCCTTCAGAGTTACACTGATACTTTCAGAAGTAATGTGATGAGAAAATATTGTTGTTGTTTTTTTTCAGCGGACACCTTGCAGTGTTACGAGTGTTTACCAGACATCTTTGGAAATTGCACACAGACAACAAAACAATGTCCCTCAGACAGTTACCAGTGTGCTGCAACAAGATTCATGATATATCTAGGTACGTCGGTGTGGAGTTCATGGTTTGTGTTTGTCCCTTTGGCATAGGCTCACTTCACAACAGCTGCTCTTTTCATTGCAGGTGAATTTCAACTTGTTGATGCCCCAGCTAAAAAATGTGCTGCGGTCCAAGACTGTCTTAATGGCTCAATCAACTTTGGAGTTGCAAAAATCGTATCAAAGAGCCAGTGCTGCGATGGAAATTACTGCAACACTGCACAAGTCCCTGGTAAAGTCATGCTGTTCAAAACTCTGTGCTGCAGTTAAGATTAACTGAAGTGGGTTATCAGATTCATTTGTCCCAATGGAGGAGTCATTTCTCTAAATACAAGACATGGCAAATGGCAAAAAGAGATATAAATAAGTGAAAATGCTAAATAAAATATAAATGTGTGGGAAAACAACAGTTCAAACAAACATCTAGCTGAAGATGAATGTTCATGTTTAGCAACCTAAGCAGAGGGAATAAAAACCTTCAACAGCCCTGACATCGGCCTCTGCCTCTGAGCAGCCAGTGTCACAGCTGCACTAGACAGCAGGCAGCCTCAGTTTGGTGAAATGGGGAGAAATATCCTGAAGGAGTCACATTAGCATTCTGAAGGCAATCATGGTGCTGTCGTGCTCTCAGTGTTCATCAAACAGATTTTTCTCTGCTGTTTTCTGCATCTCCCAGGTGCTCTGCTGTGACCTCACCATGCATGAGGATACATCAGATCATGTATCCTGGTGGGATGAGGTCTGGGCATGAGGCTAGTTATTTGTTCATTCCTAGTCTAGTCATGTTGGTGACTGCAATCCCAACAGCATGGATAAGCTGTCAGCACCCAGCTGCCAAGACAACAAGTATCCATGACCCCATGAGTGCATTTTTAACCCTGCCACTGTCCTATTGGGTGACCGTGCCAGAAAAGCTGACCATTGAGCAGGATTGATGGTTTATCCTTTGAGGTCCACGTGGCAGGGGTGAGGTGGTGCTCACTCCTAACCCCTGCCACGTGGGCCTCAAGGGATAAACCATCAACCCTGCTCAATGGTCAGCTTTCCTGGTGAAGTCACCTAATTGGACAGTGAGAGGGTTAAATCTATTCTCATCCTATCTGTCACATGCACCACGGAGCCCACGGTGTTCGTAATACACTCCTAAGACTTTGCAACGATATTAGGGACCGTTTTTCTGTGCGATCACTCATCTGATTCAAAAGCATTCACATATGAGACCAGGAAGATTTTGATGTTTGAGACGTTTTAGATGGCCGGCGTTTGCTCTAAGGATCAAAACATGAAAGACTCACAAGCAGTTCAAAAACCAGTCTGACCTGGTGGCTTAATGATTAAAAATTATGTTAAACAACTACCCCGCTAATATCAGAATCATCACGCTCTAATAAAACAAAATTACATCTTTTAGATCTTGGGGTTTTCAAAAACTTTTTTTTCTGTCCCAGAGCCCAGCAGCTTCTCTGCAAACGGCCGGAGGTGCTTCAGCTGTGAAGGAACGGAGTGTGGCAGAACGCTAAACTGTGAGAAGAATGAAGACTTCTGCATCAAATCAACAAGTAGGACACATTTACCCTCTTCCATTTTCAAACAAATATTGAAAGATTTTAATACCAAACATGAGGCTCACCTAATAATGATATTTTCATTCTCAGTGAATGACAACGGACAGAAACGGACCATGAAGGGCTGCGCCTCATCGCTGATGTGCTCCGCTCAGTCGGTAGCTGCGATTAAACAAAAAATGGGAGCAGAAATGAGCTGCTGTCAGGGAGATTACTGCAACAGCGCCGACGCTACGAGGGCTGGACTGCTGCTGATGGTGCCGTTGATGTCTTTGGTCGTGTTTTAATAGGAAATGGAAACAGCTGTATTGCTGCTCAGTTGTTTTTTATATACTTGTTGTAGCAGCATCATAAAGGTCAAATCTGTTCCTAAATGTGCAATGGTCAGAATTAAACTTGTCTAAAAATTATATTTCTAACATTTTTCTTCTTCTGAAATATTTCCATTAATGTTAAAGTCAAACATAAATATGTCAGATGTTATCAAAATAAGTTAAATAAACCAGCTGAAGCTTTTCAATTCACACATCAATGAATCAATTTGACTTCAAATGTGTATCTTACTATAATGAAAACATGAAGGTTTCTACATGAAGAAGATCTCAGGAACAAACAGAGGGTCAACAAACTCAGCATCCCACTGTCTTTATGGGTGTGACCCTGCCAGGAAAGTTGACCAGTGAGCAGGATTGATGGTTTATCCCTTGAGGTCCATGTTGCAGGGGTGAGGTGGTGCTCACTCCTCACCCCTGCCACATGGACCAAAGGGATGAACCATCAATCCTGCTCAATGGTCAGCTTTCCTCGCGGGGTCACACTCCTTGGGACAGTGGGAGGGTTAAAAATGATTAATCAGAGCTTCATCTAGGGGCGAGTTGGAGATTTCGCTGGAATACAACAAAGAAAACAAACAACAACAAACAAAAGACAAAGAAGTGTCACAGATTAACTTTCAGTACTGTGTGAAATAACTGCTTAAAAAATAAAGGAAATACAAAAATAAATCATCTTTGATCTGAATGGATGAAACATCCCTATTAAGCATTTTGTTCTTTACGCAATCACACAAAAATCATCAATAGAAATCAAATGTATTAATCAATGGAGATCTGGATTTGGAGTCACACTCTGAATTAAAATGGATAAACACACTATGGGCAGATTCAGCTTTGATGTAATGTCCTAAAACAAGTCAGAATAAGGCTCAGTAGTGTGTGTGGCTTCCACATGCCTGAATGACCTCCCTACAACACCTAGGCATGCTCCTGATGAGGTGATAGCTGGTCTCCAGAGGGATCTCCTCCCACACCTGGACTAAAGTGTCCACCAACCTGCACAGTGTGTGGTTCAATGTGGTGTTGGTGGATGGAGCAACGCATGATCTCCCAGATGTGCTCAATTGGATTCAGGTCTTGGGAATGGGTGGTCCAGTCCAAAGCATCAATGCCTTTGTCTTGCAGGACCTGCTACCCACCAGTCACATGAGGTCTATTATTGTCTTGGAACCCAGGGCCGACCACACCAGCACATGGTCTCACAAGGGATCTAAGGATCTTGTTTCAGTGCCTAATGGAAGCCAGGCTACCTCTGATGAGCACATGGAGGGCTGTGCAGCCTCCCAAAGAAATGCCACCCAACACCATTACTGACACACTGCCAAATCGGTCATGCTGGAGGATGTTGCAGGCAACACAACGCTCTTCACCGCACCTCCAGTCTGCCACTTCTGTCTCAGTATGAACCTTCTTTTATCTGTAAAGAGCACAAGGCACCAGTGGCAATTTTGCCAATCTTGGTGTTTTCTGCTAAATGGCAAATGTGTATGTTTATGTTTATGTATTTAGCAGACGCTTTTGTCCAAAGCGACTTACAAGTGATAATTGGCATGTAGCCCTAGAGGCTAACAACAACAATAACAACAACAACTTGACATCAATTATGGAGAGGAGAGAACAAGGAGTGGACAGTAGAGAGGGGGACGGGTGCAGGGACGGTGCTAGTTTAGAAGATGCTCTCTGAAGAGCAGGGTCTTCAGGAGTTTCTTGAAAATTGAAAAGGAAGCCCCTGTTCTGGTAGTGCTTGGAAGGTCATTCCACATTTGTGGAACGATGCATGAGAAGAGTCTGGATTGTCCTGAGCGTGGTGTAGGCACTGCTAGCCGACGATCCTGTGATGACCGGAGCGGCCGGGCCGAGACGTAAGCCTTTGCAAGAGGATTCAGGTAGATGGGAGCCGTACCATCTCGGACTTTGTATGCTAGTGTTAGCAATTTGAATTTGATGCGTGCTGCTAGTGGTAGCCAGTGGAGCTCAATGAACAGAGGGGTGACGTGTGCTCTTTTTGGCTGATTGAAGACCAGACGCGCCGCTGCATTCTGGACCATTTGAAGAGGTCTCACAGTCCAGGCTGGAAGACCAGTTAGAAGGGCATTGCAGTAATCGAGGCGGGAGATGACAGTAGATTGCACCAGGAGCTGAGTGGCATGTTGTGTTAGGTATGGTCTGATCTTTCGTATGTTATACAGCGTAAAGCGGCATGAACGAGCAACAGAGGCAACATGATCTTTAAAGATCAGGTGTTTATCAATCACAACACCCAGATTTCGAACTGCCTTTGAAGGAGCCAGAGATAGGAAGTCATTCTGGATTGAGATATTGTGCCGTATGGGTGGTTTTGCTGGGATGACAAGTAGATCAGTTTTAGAGAGGTTGAGTTGGAGATGATGGGATTTCATCCATTTTGATATGTCAGAGAGACAGTTTGATATTTGTGCAGAGACAGTGTGGTCGTCCGGTGGAAATGACAGATAGACCTGGGTGTCTTCTGCATAGCAGTGATAGGAGAAGCCATTAGATCGAATGATCTCACCCAGTGAGGTGGTGTATATGACAAAGAGAAGATGTCCTAGTACAGAGCCCTGGAGGACTCCTGTGGCAAGATGGTGCACGGTAGAGGATTGTCCAAGCCAAGATACACTGAATGATCATCCTGTGAGGTACAATTCAGACCAGGCATGTGCTTTCTCTGTGATACCCATGCTAGAGAGTGTGGACAAAAGGAAGCCATGGTTGACAGTGTCAAATGCAGCCGATAAGTCGAGCAGGATAAGCACTGAGGATTTGGCAGTCGCTCTAGCTTCTTTAAAGGATTCCGTCACTGCTAACAGAGCAGTTTCAGTGGAGTGGCCCTTTTTGAACCCAGATTGGTAAGGGTCAAGCAGACAGTTTTGTGAGAGGTATTCTGTGATATGCCCTGCGATGGACTGGATCTCTGTCCAGGGTGTACCCCGCCTGATTGCCCGTTGACCGCTGGAGGTATGGCGCCAGACCCCCCGCGCGACCCTGCGTGGACAAAGCAGGTTCAGAAAATGGATGGATGGATGGTATTCTGTGATCTGCTTGAAAGCCCCCCTTTCAATGATTTTGGACAGAAAAGGGAGGAGAGAGATAGGTCGGTAGTTCTCCACATGATTTGGAGGAAGAGATGATTTTTTAGCAGCGGTTTAACCTGAGCATGCTTGAGAGAGGTGGGAAATGTACCGGATGTCAGTGAAGCATTGATCACATCTGTGACTGCTATGGCTACTGTAGGAGCAATAGCTTGGAGCAGCTTAGTCGGAATAGGGTCAAGTGGGCATGTAATAGGGCGGCTGCACGTGAGAAGCTTGGACACACAGTTCTCAGTGAGAGAACTGTTAGCGTAGTGTCGAGCATGGTGTTGGGTTGTAAGCACAACCCCCATCTGTGGATGTTGGACCCTCTTACCACCTTCAGAGAGTCTCTTTCTGACCGTTTGAGCAGACACATGCACATTTTTGGCCTGGTGGAGGTCATTTTGCAGGGTTCTGGCAGTACGCCTCCTGTTCCTCCTTGAACAAAGGTGGAGGTAGTGGTCCTGTTGCTGGGTTGTTGCCCTCCTACAGCCTCCTCAAGATCTCCTGATGTACTAACCTGTCTCCTGGCGTCTCCATGCTCTGGACACTACGCTGACTGAAACAACAAACCTTTTTGCCACAGCTCAGATTGGTGTGCCATACTGAATGAGCTGTACTACCTGAGCCACTTGTGTGGGTTGTGGACTCCGTCTCATGTTTCCACTCATGTGAAAACATCGCCAGCCTTCAAACGTAAACCAAAACATCATCCTGAAAACAGAGGAACTGAGAAGTGGTTTATGGTCACCACCGACAGAACCACTCCTTTGTTGGGGATATCTTGATAACTTCTAATAATTTCCAAGTGTTGTCTTTTTCATTTGCACAACAGCAGCTTATCAGTCGGTGTTGTTTTCTATGAGGTCAGTTTGATTTCAAAAAAGTGTGACTGACTTGGAGATACATTGTGTTGTTTAAGTTGTCCCTTTAGTTTTCTGTACGTCTGCCATTTTCCACAGTGCCAGCCTCGCTGTGCCGAGCACACCGCTGGGCAACCTGCAATGGTGCCCACTATAGAGCTCCGGATGTCACATGACTCTCAGAGAGTAGACGCCATGTTGGCAGGCAACAAATGTAAAAATGAACGGGATCGGCTTGGATTTTACTTCACACTTTAAAACCGAAGAAATCGTTTTATATAGTCAGAAATTAAATAGACTAAACATCTCCGACCCTTACCATACCCATGGGATACTTTTTAAAAATGCCAGAAGCTGTCGGAGCGGACTTCTTACCAGACCTGGCTGGGGAACCCCTTGGGATTCCCCTGGAGGAGCTGGCCCAAGTGGCTGGGGAGAGGGAAGTCTGGGCCTCTCGACGCTACTGCCCCCGCAACCCGACTCCAGATAAGCGGATGAAAATGGATGGATGGATGGACAAATAACATAGATTTACATGTAAGTAGTTTAAATAGAGTGCTGTGCTGTTTGAATGTATAAACTGAACGCCAAGAGAAATCACTAGTTTGATTTTTTTCCGTGAAAAAAAAAGTCAGGCAGGAGCATCTCAGGATCTGTCTGAGATCTGTCTCGGTGAGACAGATAATAGCAATCCAAAGTGCTTTTTATGTGTGATCTGACAATTGATCAACCATTGCTTAAAAATTAAATACTGTTTAGCAGGTTAATTGCTGTGATCATAAAACACGTAAACGGCAGCACGCAGAACTCACGAGGCAATGTTTTACGTGACGTTTACTTGTTGCTATGAGTAATAAGACAGAAAAAGCCACGCCAAAATAAGTTTAGGAAGCCCACTAAGAATCGTAATAAAAGCATTTAAAATAAATACCATACACAGTTGAGGAATCGTTGGTTTAAGTACCTGATATGAAGTGGTCGCTGCATAAGCGAAAACCTTTAATCTCGGGATCCCACAGTTTCATTTTAGCCCGGTCACTAGCGCGTTTCATTATAATGATCCAATGTTTGTGGCACTCCGGATCTTGGGGAATCTTGTAGATGGCTCATTCCTTATGTCGTCCGCGTCTGTTCTGCATCCTGGGGCACAACAGGAATCTACCATATTTCCAGTTTGATTGATTTTTCTGACAATAACAAATAGTCCAGCTGCGGGCTTCTGCCTGCCAATATGGCGCCGTTTCGATTTGAACTGTTGCATGCCGGGAGAAGTGACGTCAACTCCCGGAGCTCTATTGGCTGGTAGATGTGAACATAATGTCATAATGGCAAAATTATTAGTGAATAATTATTATTATTTTTTAATTAAAATATAGCTTTTAAAGGAAATACCATACCTTCATTCTGCACACCTCTAAATGCCCCGTGGAGGTATGATTTATTTAAAATGTATTTTTAAAATGTTTCTTATAGGGAGCATAAGTCACGCCCATCTACTTCCAGACAATGGGTCCCAGGAGGAAAGAAAAAAATGAATGCAAGTCAATGTTGCTATAAACGCTATTTTCTATTTTCGCTTGTTATGTGCCATGGATTTCACATATGATGTCTGTGAATTTTAAAGATGTGTTTTGATGGCAAGAACGCGCTTATTTTCGAATGAGGAGAAATGTTATTTTAGGTGTTGTGGAAAAAAAGTCCATGACTACAAATGCATCCCACCAAAGTGACATCACCAAACCAGACACGGAGAAAAACAGAGGGAAAAAATGGCTGTCAATTCAGCGAACTTCAAATCCTTCCTTCAGGATGAATGAACCAGAATAAATCTGACCATGTGGTAAGTAGCAGCTGCGCTAGGGGAGAAGAAATTCTGTGGTGGATATGCAACATACCAACGTCTAATTTGTAATCATAATAATTACAAACTTACAACCTGATAAATCTCAAAGTATGTGACTGGGGTGGTCGAAACACACATCACTTAAATTGAAGTAGAACATATGTGCGATCCAGGGCGTAAGGCAAAACGGATTAG